CTCTTCCTCTCTGCTGCCAGGAACTCAGCGATTCAATTAACAAAAACTCTCTGATGTCTTATCAGAGGCACAAACCCTGAAGTGTGCTGCGGTGTGTGTGAATGTCCGGAGAGAGAGAAAAAAATAAGATTCAAACACAAACTAAGCTAAACTGGCAGATTTGTGTTTTTGAAGCTATGGACTGATGGTGCTAATAAACTAAGGACGATGCAGTTCTGGGGTGTGTAAACAGAACCATATCTCAGAGTGTTCTCAATCATGGAAACAGTCATTTCAAGATTTTTTTTAAAACATAAGTCATTAGAAAAAAAATACACCACGTGTTTTGTGTTCAAGCAGAAATGTACCTTTTCATGTTGTCTCACGTGTCTGGATATAAAAAGCAGAAAACTCCAAATGTCACATTTCTATTGACTGGTTTACTGCTTGGGAGAAAAATGTTCTACGCAATCTTAGATACATTAAAAAAAAATTAACTTGCTGATCAAAATTATTCAGAAGAACTGAACTTTATAGTTAGTCTCATGGTTTCAGGTTAAGCAGTTTTAAGTGGATTTAAATGTTACCAATAGGACATTTCTCTTGTAAAATCCTCAAACTGTTCTCTGTTTTTGTCTTTTTAGGATATAAAAGACGGTTGCGCAGTCTTACCCTTTGGGCAACATGAACAGGTAATGAATACAGATTTTTTAATGACGTGAATGTAATGCAGAGGTTAAGTTTTTTTTTTTTTTACTGCCTGGAAAAGCTGCGTGGGGGGCGTTTGTCACATTCAAAATGAGATGGTTAGATTTAAGACTAAGATAAGTTAGGAAATATGCCCCATGTCTCATCACTTTAAATCTATTATGCAACCCACAAAAGCAATAAACGAAAGTTGGGCAAACAAAATTGGGACAGCTCCGATATACCGATGGGCCTAAATTACTTCTATCTGTTTACCAGATGTGCTCAGGTTGGAGACTAGCACCGTTGCTCGTCTTTTGTAAAAGTAGACGGTTTCACCACTGATAATCTTGGTGATAACGACAAGAAATGGCCTGGAGGGATAAAGCAGCGGTAGGAGGAATGATGCAAAACATCAGGATACCAATGCCCCTAATTTACAAGATGGCCTCAGAATGAGAAGGCTTAAATGACATCTTATCGTGAGTTTTCAAAAGCTAGCCAAACTTTTCCACCGCTCAAAGGAAGAATGTGAATTTAGTTTTCACCTAACAATAGTTCTGGTTTGAAAACATCCCATATACATTATATTATTAAAGAAAATATGGGTCACTTTTATGCAGCTAAGTCATGTGATGATGCTGCATTCAAGAGCACTGATTGGTCCTATGACAGGTAATGACTTGTTTTAGCAACTCATCCTTTTTCTTTTCTTTTTTTCTTATTTAATGCAATAGTTTTACTATACGATAAGAAGCAGTTCAACTTCAGAGACAAACATTTCTTTAACTTTTTCTTTTTAATGATGAACTTGACTTACCTTAAACGCAGCAGTTGCAGCTTCTAAGCAACAACTCAGTCATGAGTCAAACGAATGGCCAGTCATTTTGATAGCAATCCTAAAAAAAACAAGCTTATTTGGCAACATTATCCTTTCTAAACAGATTTATTATGGCTCCATTTCAACAGTACTGCTATTATCTGTTTACTTTAATGAAAACCAGGAAAGTATACACAGAAGTTATCATTGCTTGCGTGTAGGCTCATATTACAAAGGTGATTTGCCTCGTAAGGCAAACACTTATGCGTGGGAATCTATAAGTTTACTCTGCCTTGCCTGTACTTTGATCTGTCTAGACATTACGATGCGACAGGAAGAGAGGTTGTAGTTTCAGGTTTTGGCTTGATTATGCTAAATAATGCTCAGAAAATAACGCTGCCAATGCCGAGACTCGATTTGGAAAAAGGGATGGGGTGATGGGGGGGGATAGAAAAATGATTAAATTCATGCTTGTCCAAGACTTTTATAAAAGCACTTTCTTTTTGCACAATAGCTGGCATGTTTTCAATGAAAACCTCCAAATGTGTGACAGTAAACCACGCATCTGAAGGCTTTCTGGAGAAAGGATGATTCAGCCATGACAAGTTCAAAAATATTCCTCGTGTCACATGAAAATATTTGCTTTGTAACAAACAGGTTTTGTTAAAATGCGTTTACTCCTACTAGCAGTTTTGTCATCGGTGACGAGCAGAGGAACGCCACTTTTTTTTTTTTTTTTGTAACATCCCGTAAATGTGACTACTGAAAGTTTAATGAGAGGTCACTTAGCAGGACGGGGCTGCCTGTGGACGATATACAGAGCTATTCCTGGCCTGGCTGAGTGTGTGTGGAGAACCACACATCTAAAGTTAAAGCTGAAATGATTTTCCATGGAAATGCATATGCAGGAACATGGGGAAAAAAAACTGTCACCTTTCCAAAATTCCACAAACGAAGCGCCAAACTGAGCGCATTTGAAAAAACCTCTAAACATTCTTGGCTTTTGGGGAACCTTTCAGCACTGTGGCCACCATCATCCAAATACATCCACCAAAAGTGTGACATAAGCATTTAGCAAATATGAAACTCTCCTCTGTCAAACTTTACCTGTAGAGTTGTGAAGACATTTTTAGGGTATTTGGTTTGTGTTTCTGGGTACGTTTCTCTGTCTCTGTCTGATTTCTGTTCTTGCCCTTTACCATTCCCACTCAATCTTTCCAGTGGATTTCTAGTTTATTTATCAGCTCCACTACCCTCACTTTCAAATCCAGATAAAGTCCACACCAAAATCTTTTTCTTTTTTCTCCTAACAGAAACATTTGAAATGTATAAATTGTAGAAAAAACATTAGTTTTTAGATGATTTCTAACTGCCATATTCAAACTGAATATGAAGAATAATTATTTATTGTATCATTATTACTTAAACAGATTGATTTCTGTTAGCAGCAAAAAATGAACCAATGTTTATAAGACCCAATGATTTGGTCAATCAATTGTGATTTAAGTGTCAGTTATTTCAAAATATATCTCATCCTTTTTCTGTGTTTATGCATTTTATAGGAAATTTGTGAGGAGAAAACAAACTACACCATCATGCTCGACCTGTGATGGTTGTGACTTTAAATGGCAGACACATGCACTTGCCTGCACGGGGATAAAATAATGAAATGGATCAACGTGAGCTGTGAATGGCAAAGCGCAATTATGGACCAATCCGAAGTAATTTAGTGTAATTATTTTCTCCGCAGCCCAGAGGATTTCCTTTGTGTGTCGACTCTGCTCCCGTGCAAGCCCATAAAGACCAGCCGGGCTCACATTTACATCTTTTATCAGGATGCTTGTATTATTCCCTCCTCTCATGACACTATTCATGCTCCCACCACGGGCTGCGTGAGCACGCCGTGTCCTTTTTGACCATGGAGTGTTTCCATCCGTGGCTCTGTGTGCAGCACAGTGAAGCACCGCCGTTGTTTTTGTACTTGGAGAGTACAAAACTCTCAGAGAAAAATTACAGTTTGACACCTGAATGGATTTTGTCCTTATTGTTATCATCCAGACTGCAGCTGCACATGAGAACATAAAGCATATTTTGTGTTTTTGAAAATTGCCCTGCAAAGGACAAGAGGTCCAATAAGAGTTCTAGCAATAATTCAGCTGTAGCTTAAAATGAGACATACACTGTTTGTGTGAGCCCTTTTGGCTGTTAACATAGTTTTAATGCTTTTTTTTAATTACTATTATTTTTCCGTTTGTTTTTTAGCCACCTCAACAATCAATGTTTTAAATGGCTTTTGGCAGAGAGGATCTCCTGAGTTGACCTGATACAGAAACAGAGCAGCCACTTTGTATCACAGAAATGTTTTTTGAAAAAAAATAGAAAGGAAAACAATATTACACAACAAAAACTTGACTTAATCAGAACTTAGTCTGTGCCCTAATTTCCCGTCCAGCTTTCTAATGACACATCAGGGATGTCGCACAAACGATCCCTGTTAGCATTGAGGCCGATGTCTGAAGGCACCGTCTTTATTCAGCCAGTGGGAACCACAAACTGCCTGTGTGTAAATGTTCAGGTTATTTTTTTCCTCTTTTTTTTGTTTTTTTTTGCAGCTTTTTTAGTCGATAAGCGCTCAAATATGAACAAGAACCTCCAGAGTTTGTAACTGAATGAATTTTTTGCAGCTTAAGATTACAGCGTTCACAAAAAGACATGTATGAGAAAAATTAGAACCTCTTCCACTGACATTAAACCGGCGCAGTTGCAAAAATACGAAGGTCCTCAAAAGCACATTAAATAAAATGGAAATCATTTGAAAAGCATTTTCATCTGGACAGCTTCTTACATATTTATTTATTATCTATAGTGTTTTATAATATATTGATTGACTGGTATTATCTGACATTTCCAACTGAAACATTTAATGTTGTAGATCTTCAGCAAAGTGAAAACCTACTACAGGACTTTTCTGCTTACCAGTAAACAGCCGAACGGCCCACATGAGTTATGGCAGTTCCATGAAAGATGCCTGCGTTGTTGTGTGTTTTTGTCCCCTCTGTGTCAAAGCGTATTTCCATGCAATGCATGAAAAGAATTTGGTTTGATGGCTTAATCGAGTTTTGTGTGATGTTTTTGCGTCTGCGTTTAGTCAAGTCAAGTCAAGTCAAGTCAACTTTATTTATATAGCACATTTAAAATAACCAAGGTTGCCAAAGTGCTGTACATAAAAAGCATATATATGTGATTTTAATGTAAAAAATAAATAAATAAATAAATAAATAAATAAGATACATAAAAAGGTAGAAAAGGTGCCCTACCTCAACCTAAGGTTACAATGTTAAAAGCCAAGTCAAATAAGTGGGTTTTTAGTCAGCCAAACTACGACAAACCTGCAGCGTGCCTCTCATCAACGTCAGTGCGTTAGCGTAAGATAAAAGGTGTGTGCATACTTTTCAGGTCTTCCAGAGAAAATTACGCAAGAGTTTTGATGCATTTCTCCACCTCTGACTGACTAATGGACCTGCGCCCGCTCGCTGAGAGCGAGGAGAAGCCGGTGATGACACTGACAGGAGCCGGTGGCGTAGGAAAGCAGCCGAGGGCGAGCGGAGCGATGAGAGAGAAACGCGAAAGGTGACAGAAAAGGCAGATGAAGGAAGTGAGCCGTTACTCAGGAGGGTGTTGGTTACATTAGTAGAGAACACAAAGTGTCAGGAGGAACGGGGATGGAGAGGTCACTCCAGCCAAAGAGCAGCGTTCCACTGTCACAGGCTGACAGGCGAGAGGGCCTGGGACTCAGAAAAAAGAAGGGTGGAACAGATAAAAGATTACATGTCATTGGGAGGCTAAACACTAACACAACAATGTAAGGTCAGACCCTTCTACGCCATTAAACAAGAAAAACTGATTTTCCCTTTGATTGAAGCTGCCGTATTTCTATTACAGTAAAAAAAAAAAAAAGATAAAACATTCCTGGTGACAGAATTAATAGTTAATAAAATAGTTAGCAGTTTTTGTAAGATTAGTGCAAGTAAAGAGGTCCGTATTGAGGATTATTCTGTACTTATCGTGAGCTCAGCCTGCTAAAATGTGCAGTGATGAAGAGGAGTGTGGTGAAGAGTAGATGGAGCCCCTCCAGGTGAAGGCTTCTGCTGGGGTTCCTGATCTCTGAACTGAAATGTTAAGTGTCACAGGTGTTTTGTTTTTTTGTAAAATACAGTAAAATTGTGAAAACAGACATTTTTATTATTGCAAAAACAAATACTTAAGAATCACTGGTGCAAACATAGCACTGTCTCAGCAGGGTTTCCCAGTCCACTCCCGTGGATAAAAAAAAAACTTGAATAAAAAAAGAGAAAAAAAGCAGCAATATATCCACTTTTTAACATTAAAGCCCCAATATGTCCCACTCCCCTGCAACAAACTACACAAAAGGTTCCAGACGTGAACAGATATGATACGACTACATTTTTTTCTTTATTTTGTTTTACTCTCAAAATTCTGTACTAGACAAATAGAACAGATGAGTGATGTTGACTGCAGGATGAATGTATTTTCAGTGAGCTTGAATGTGTTTGTTAGTCGTAGTATTTTTTCAGAAGCCAATGAGCAACAGAGCGGGTGTACATAATGAACTCTTTCTCACGGTCCTGAAAACTAACCAGGCCTGGTTAACCTGTCTTTCTTGTCATATTCAGGCAGTGCTTAAGCCTCTCGTGCCTTCTCGTGTCTTAGCAGCCACATTTCTGTTTGGGTTGTGTTGACGGGTGGAAGTTTAATATTCACAACACACAGAAAAGGAAAAAAAAAGTTTGAACAAAATACATCTGTTAATTATTTTCTTTTTTTTCTTATTTCTAGTGGCAGAGAAGGCCGCATCTCACATATATCTTTCATTTTCCCAGCATGCATTTTGCAGATCCATCTTTCTATCGCTCCAAGCCACATTTAAGAGAGAATACCTCGCACTAAGGTCAACATAACCTCGTTCTTAATGCTGTTGTCACCACTGTGATCCAGTTGGTCCTTTCCCAGAGTAGGAAAACATCATGTCAAAGGTAAAAACCACCACAATATTTTCTGTGCATCAACAAACAACAAGTGGTGTGACATCATTCAGTGGTTCATATGAAATAAACCACATTATTATCTTTATTGTCAAACGATCATTAAAATCCGGACCTGTGTTTCTGTCACCGGTTTGCATATCTGCACAGCGTATCTGTGATGTGGTTGCTTATATTTATTTACTCTGAGCCAATGAAAACTGCGTCAGTCAACCCGTTCTTTGGAATAGTGGCACAGGAATGCATTCAATGGCATCTCAGTTCCTCAAAACCACGCATGGCTTTTAACTTTTTGTTTTTCTTTAAGGTCAGTGTTTGTGAATGTGCCCTCCTCCCATCAGCCATGAGTGGGAAAAAAAATCAAACTCACAGTCAGGTTTCAAATGAACACAAGGCACGAGTCTCGCTGCTGCTATCATTGTAAAAATAGCTTATTTTTCCACTGGTGCAGTCATCCATGAACATCTACGCTTTCAAATTCAGGGACAGGTTTCATTTATTCGCTAAGTAAATATTAAGCAAAGGGCACGCTTTGTTTTTCTAGTCAGAAGACGTCAATGAAAAAAAAAAAGACACAATGAGAGTAAAGAGAAACATTTCCCCAAACAACATTTAGCACCTTTGTGTAGTTCCCACAGGTCAAAGGAGGGTTGATGCTCAGGCTGAAAGGCAGATCATGACATCATCCCATCACGGGATGATTCTCATTGTTTCTCTCTTTTGAACTGGCTGTGACGTTGTTCCAGCATCGGCGTGCTTCAAAGCCCACGTGTGCTTCAATTAGTTCAATTGTACCGTTTCAGTGTGGGCTGAAAGGAAGACCAGGTGGAGAAAGGTGTTTCTCTGATTCTCATTTGGGACACATATTTCACAGTCTGGCTTCTGGTCATATAAACATTAATTGAAAGACTGAATCTAATGATGAATTCACAAATTATTTGAAAAGTTTTTGCTTCCCAGGTCAAATCTGATGGATTAATTCAGTAAAACAAGTTTAAATGTGTTGTAAACAGCCACAAACCTTCTAGCCCAAACTGCCCAAAAAGCAATGGGATTACATCAAAAATAATTGTCTTTACCTCAGTCTGTTCTTCTGAGTTCACGTCCATCGTGAGCTGTCTTAAACAATGCAATTTCATAATTTCATAGACACGAAGGAAAGTTTAAATAACATGCAGGCAGCCAAACAAAGGAACTCTACACAACATATATTCTCTTTATTTCTTAGGAGCGTCATTTCTTATGATCAAATTCAGCAACACTCGTTTTGTTGTTTTGTTTCTGTGACAAAATTCCCTTCTTAACAACAGGTCAGAATAGATCACCAGAAATAAAAAAAAAGTAGCTGCATTGTAGGAGAATTAAAAAGAAATCAATAATAAGAGCATTGATTCTGAGCAGGTTTTCTAACGGCCTGCTGGATTGTACCACAATGTTCATGGCCTACTTTCTCTTTAATCCAGTTTGTGCTTCATTTTGCAGTTTTCTGTGTAGTCCTCAGAGCCAGAAACACGTGTTCGTTTGTCTTAAGCTCCGGGACACTGCATTAGTTGCCTGCAGTGTCAACGGCTCTTTCCTAATGTAATTGTGATGCTGTGCCAGCTCCCAAGAAAAGCATGTAGGCCTGTGAAAATCTTTGCCATCAGATCAGTGTGTGTGTGTGTGTGTGTGTGTGTGTGTGTGTTTATCCCACTCTTCATCGTTACTAATAGTATAATTGACAGGCGTTTTTTTTTTTTTCTCCTTATGTGGCTGCAGAGAGTGATGCTATCTGTAAACCACCGGCGCCAAACCAATTGAAAGGAAGAAAAACAAAACAGAATACGACTGCTCTGCTTTCTGCTGCTTAGCAAACAGCTAACCGAGTCAGATGATGTCAGGTGGTGTAAAGGGAAACAATCGTACTTTTCCTGAAGGAGTAATTAAAAAAGAATGAATCCTGTTGAAGGAGGGAAATATTATTTTCCTGCCGTGTATAATGTCAATAAGCCCCCTCACAGCAGCACACCTGTAAAGAGTCATGTAAAAGTGTGAAATGATGGGATTCTAATCTTTTTTTGAATACCACATTGAATAAGAATGTTCACATTTTGCTCTTATATGCAGCATAATAGCATGTTAGCACCTGGGTGAAGGGGGTTCTGGGAAAATCTGAGCTGATGATGTTGTTGCATTTTGTGATGTGGTTGATTAGTAACCAAGCACAGCAGTGGAAGTCAGAATGGAAAAATGTCAAGCCTTTTTTTTTCCCCAAGGTACTTCCGTACCGATTTCCGTCATAATCTGCTGTTTGAGTTGAGTCATCTCGATGCAGCCAAGACTGTAAACACATCAAAGCGCGGCGTAATTATCCTGAGACATTCAGAACATACTGAACTTGAACATTTGACTCGAGGACAAACAAATGAGGCCAAAATAATTACGGCTGTCAAAGCAAATAAAAGAATTAAAAGAATGATCTGCAGTTCCCTTCACAGTGACAGGGAGATTTACATGATAACTGAAACACATAAAGGTATGGCACGATCAGAAGTGTAGACCGAATGGTTCTGTCGGTTGGTTTTCAGAGGAAACATCGTGAGGACATGTTTGCTCACCTCAGTCAGTAGGTCACACGCAGGCCCAGTCGCCTGTATTTAAGTTTTTCAAAACTTGTTTTCCATTATGTCAGTGGTTAGAACAAACGGAGCCAAGAGACGACAAGCAAATCACAGGCGGTGTGCATTTATGTGGCCACACATGCAACGGGAGGCCTGGAACAGGCCGCTGCCTTCATTCTGGATGCCTTTTATTCTGTAACTTTTTCTCAGTTGATTGATTTCTCATTCTCAACATGCAGGTGTGACCTCCTCAGGATTGTACTGTACTGTACTTTTTTCTAGGGCTCAAAGCCAAGTGGAAGCTCAGAGAGCATCTGGCTTTCTCTTTCTCAGCACTCAACTCCGCAGAGTTATTAAAGCTCTCTTGAAAGCTTATGTTTTGCATTTGGCTTATAAGACAGTGTAGTTTGATTTATTTGATTTCGGTATGCTTGTGACCTAATTGTTTTAATCTAAACACTGTCTCCTGTCTACGTGCTTCATGAAGAATTTAGCCTGGATTTCATTTACTATTCTCAACTCCCCCTCAAGCTATAAATGTTTTTTTCAAAACCACCTGGAGGTATGACACTCCCTGCCGTGTTTGTCCCTCCTAGCTGCTTTGGTTTCATACATTGTAAGGTTAAACGAGGACACGCATGCATAACACACAGTGTGTACATCTATTAAAACAAACTCAGTCTCATTTTGGGCTCATTTTTCCAAAAGTCGTCAATCAAGTTTTTGACAGCTGAAATCAACATCTGGGAGGTTTGACATTTGCAACATATAATTTAATTATCTTAAAGAGGAGATCCCATTTTCTTTTCCCTTTTTTCCCTTGAATTTTGCTTTTCACTTCAATAGATGCCTTCACGTGGGGCAGGATTCAGGTACTTTTCCTCCTTCTCATAGGTTTATGCTGTCAGGTGAAAATACATTTTTAAAAAGTCTTTAGACTATGTAGATATAGCCTTGGATTAACATTGTTACCTAAGATGAGTAACACCTCACCTTTTGTTAAACTAAAATAGAAGGAAGCCAATTCACAATTGTTTCCCCCAACACGGAACTGAACACTATCAGGAAGATTCTGTGAAATTTCAGTTTCAACACTTTCTCTTCCTACAGAAAGTCTTTTCAAATGGGTGAGGACTGGAAAAACAAGCATAGATCAAGGAGATAGAGGAAAAACGAATAATAGACCTGTGTAAATGTAAAAGAGGAGGAGCTGAAAAAAGGAGCTGGATGCAAACTAAACCCAGCAAGATGAGCACTTCCTGCAGAGGTAGACTCCCCGAAATGCCGTTTCCACTAATCTGCAGTGGACAGGCTGGACAGCGTAGAGGGAAAGGTGAGATAGCGCCTTCTCTAACGGAAATACCAGAGGCCAGAGTCTGATAAGAGCCTGTGAGGAACTGTCCAGTCCTCTGTGAGCATGATGGGGACACCATGATAAACAGATCAGCTCCTGGGATTCTTAGAAACCATGACAGATGACACAGATGACATTTAGATCACATTTCAGAATAAATTAATAGAAGAAAGCATCATTACAAATTTTGTGTTCTGATTAATTATCTATGCTTTTTATTTTACTTTTCCAGAGTGGATCATTCAGAATGATGAACCTAGCTCCACCAGGTGTTTTCACCTCCTAAATATGGTCCTCTAAAACAATTACAAGCATGTTCTAGATGTATCACTTGTTTCATAAGTGAGAATCTTTACTTTCTCCTTTAATAATATTTCTTTTTTTTTTGTTTTGTCCTTTAATGATAGCATCCACACAGTGGAAGGTAAATGCTGTGCTATACTAGCCATGTGTGTTTAAAAAAAAAGAAAAGAGTACTCCTACTGCGACATGATTTGGTACAGCTAAAGATCCATGTGGAATGTCAGAACAATAGAAAGTCATCTTGGGGAAGTTTGTGTTTGAGTTAGTTGTGTGAAAATGAGATAATACTGTCTAGATTTGGTCTTTGTGGCGGGCTGCCTGTTGGGACAAAGGTTGGAGGCAGGCTTGGTCAAACAGCGGTTATCTCAAGTGGACCCCATTAGCCCTCTAAATGTGACAGGAGAGTGGAGGCAGGTAGTTTAACAAAGTCAGTGAGCACATATGATGACAAATTAGTGGGGAGAAAACTTGTCAGCCCGATTTGAAAAGCGCAAAGATGAATGTATGGGAGCTAAGCCCTGTGCAAAACACCCGGAGACCACCTCACCGTTCTCGGAGACGTTCAAACAGGCAGAGAGGAATTAGCCTGTCAGTGCTGTACTCTGTGGAAAATGACACCATTAACTATGTATAATGGCACATTAAGACCATAAACATGAGCTTTTATGAGAAGAACAAACATATAAATGAGCTAAGAGGCCTGAATGTGCAAAGTTGGTCTCCTTTTCTTTGAGAAGTCATGGCTTTAGCTTTATGATGCTGTGGGGAAAAAGTTACTGTCAAATTCAGGCATAGTGTCAATTTTATTGCAAAAAATGAGTGTTTAAACTGCCTCAAAGGGCTGAGGTGTCCCCAAAATGATGTTCCTATCTAAATGATTTTCTCTCAAATGTTGCCTGTATTTATTTGATATTTGTCACTGGTCACATTAACATCATTGTATCCTTTCTTTGATGCTCAGGATCCTTGTAACAATCTGCTGTGGTATTTCTGTTTCTTTGCATCTTTTTGATATTTAAAACGCATTGATAAAGCCAGTTTCTGACACTTCTGTTATGATGCATATCCATGCTGACAGCAAAGTTGTTTGCATGCTGGTTCGGCTGGTTGAGCCCTGAAAAGCCCAGTAATCCAGGGAATAAGAGCCCATTTACAGCCAAGAGAGAAATGAGACAGAGGAGGGAATGTTTGATCTGTTTGTTCATTATTCGGTTATTATGGAAAATGGAAGACTTATCTTAGAGCCCTTTTGCCAGGCTTTTTTTTTCTCCGTTTTTTCAGCAAGCGCCTCTAACACCTCTCCGTTCAGCTCAGGCCACATGTGCTGAAAGGTTACAGGAAAATGAAAAAGGTGAGCCGAGCTTGATAACAAAAATCCTGGACATGTTTCCTGGAAAGAGCGACTCAATTGCCCAGAGATTTACCTGTTGGCCTTCACACTTTCAAAGTGTCTGCACCCATCAGAGTTTAGCCGATTTTTCTTGTGTGTGATATGTCCTCAGCCAGGTGGTTGCTATAGGCAACAGAGAACAAAATCCCTGTTTTATCAAGGTTATCAGAGTAGAGCCATATCTCTCTGTTTCTCAACTATTATTTTAATCTTAATAGTTGCTATTCACAAGAAAGTATTGGATTAAAGTGATGTGAAAAGGGATTGTTGGAAACTATGTGCCGTGCTGTTCGTCGTACTCGGTGCACTGACCAACACAAAGGAAGGACAAACGCTTTTGGACTGACGATACTGGACAGAGAAACCCGGGTAGGATTTGCATGAATGGCTCATTGGAGGTGCACCAAGGCTCTGGGGCAGCAGGTCCTGTTCTCCTTGTTGTAATCGCTGCCTCCTTCTCTTCTGCCGCATAAAATATGCAGAGGCAAGTACGGACACGTTTACAATTAAAGGAAAACCCTGGGAGAAATCATTAAATGCTCTCATGCAGGATTCGCTGACTGAATTTGCAACAATGGTGCTGCCACTGAAGTCCAGGGCAGTTAAAAAGTTCAAAGGACAGGCGTTTTAAAGGGAATCAAATGTTAAATGGCATTGCATTTTAAGCTTGAGATGATGCACAACACACCTCACAGCTTCAAAAGTGTTGCGCCCCTAAAAAGAAAATTGTGTGTTGTGGAGACCCAACCGAAGCTTTCTGGTGGATGGTGCAGTTGCAGGAATGTAGGCGCATTAAAATCCAGATTTGTTTGTGCGATTGCGTGTGCGCTTTATTGAATCTTTGCTATGAGAGGTGAACACGGTGTTCTCTCCCTCTTTGAAGGACGCCCTGCGGCTGTTCAGGCTTTAATCCCATAATGAGTTCAATAACAGCAACCTTATCTGCTTGACAGCAATTTCAACGATCTGGCAGTTTAATTTACTGTACTCTGCAATGCACGCTGACGGCACGGGCAGAAGGGAGTAAATATGAATGCTTTCCGTCGCAGGAAGAAGCAAGAAATGTAGGAAATGACAATGGAAACTGGTGCTTTTGAAAAATTAGGGATCTGTCAGTCACAAAACTCTAACTGTACCACGTCACTCAGATCAGAAATACCAGTGTTAGTAATGATAATATATTTAAAGTATTTCCATTTTGTCCTATATTTATCAACCTATATCTTTACATAGATGCATATGCAACAATTATGTAGCCTGTATATGGGCACAATCTTTCATCACATCTTAAATACAAAGAAAACTGTAAGTTTGTGTTTTTCTATCAAGAATTCTTATGCATGTAACTGTTGATTCAGCTAAATAGTTTTTGTTTTTGCATCATTTTTCAGATAGTGACAACCCAGCATGCTAAATTCTTACCAAACACACACACACACACACACACACACACACACACACACACACACACACACACACACACACACACACACACACACACACACACACACTTGTGTTTGGCAAGAAGGTTTGCAAAAAGAACTCATATATTCACATGAAACATGCTTCATGGTTTAAACTTCCCATTTAGCATGCTGGGTTGTCACTATCTGAAAAATGATGCAAACATTCTTACCAAACACACACACACACACACACACAGTTGTGTTTGGCAAGAATGTTTAAAATGAACCTATGAGTATATCTTCCCAGAATATGTGCTTTTGCCCATGCCTGAACCTGTTCACGCACACTCAGGCACAGTCAACCCAGCGCTCAGCCCACAGGACGTGGGCAGATCGGACCCAAAACGGGTCCATTTTTTTTGGGAACACCATATCACCTGAACGTAGACTTTTTCCCTCTCTTTACCTTCAGGTTCTGTCCTCACCCCCTCCTCCGTGACAGAACAGGCTCCCAGCCTGGTCCCAGTCAATCATCCCGCTCGGCTCCCCTTTGTCTCCGTTAGGAGGGGGGGGGGGGGTAGGATTGGAGAGTGTAATTGGCCGTGGCTGCTCAGGTGAAAGCAGACCTGTTGTCTGGGGACACAAAACCGTCTCTCTGTGTTTGTCTGCAGCGCCGTATAGGGTCAAAAGGACAGGCCACGTTGGGGGTCACACTCACTCACACACACAGACACACACATGCACATTCAGCCTCCCACAATCTCTTCAGCTACCTGGGAAAAAAGAATTATTTGCTCTCGTGTCTGTCGGAGATGCGGCTGAAAGTTTGCGCCTCCCTCTCACTTCTATCTTAGATTCATCTAACTTCTCGAAAAGGTTTTCACTCGTTTGTGTTGGTGCACAGCTCACACACACACACAATCCAACCGTCACCACAAGGCCCTTCCGAGCAGGGTGGTGGGGGGGGGGATCAGCTTTCCCCGCACTCTTTATCATGGAGCTTCACATGGAACTGGCTCAGTTAGACAGAACCAGTTCTGATTCCGCTTACAAAGCCTATGCCAGTATGCATGTGACATTCCATTATTATTTACATCGCAATCATTTTGAGACGTGGCCAGGCCACTGTTCCAGAGAAAACGTACGACCCAATAAAACCAAGAAAATATCACACCCATGATGAGCAGCCACACACTGATCAGGTGATCCGTGTTTGCGTGTGAGGATAGCCACATCTTAGAGCTCAGAGGGCTTGAGAAAGATGTTGGAAAGCAAAGACGATTGTCAGGAATATGACTGACGCACCCGGTGAATCATGTCTTTGTGGAGGTTTGGTTTGGTTTGGTTTGGTTTCAGTCGTCGCTGTTATTCATCACCACCAATAAAGTCAGCCCAGTCCAGAGAAAGTGTCCCTGCCTGTGTGAGTGCCAGCAGCAAACACAGAACTGGTCATGTTTTAGAATCTCGCCGTGGGTAAAACGGGCTTCTCATGGATTTATGGTCAGCATGGGTGGCCTCTCTGACTCACACACTCTGCATCTTCCCATGGAACACCCAGCTGAGGTTGAATAGACAATGTTGTACTCAATGCATCACCTTCTGGCCTCTCACTCACCCAAATCCTGCGCTGACAGAGGGCAAAGACGCGAGGTGTTTCAGGAGCCAATACGTCATTTGACAGATATTTGGATTTCTGGTGGCCCCTTACGGTTGTGACTTTCTTAAAGTTAAATGACGGGTGAATAAAGGCCAGTGAAATTAGAGGTTTGCAATCGTGTTGTGATCTTAGCACTTGGCTTTTGACACTACGATGCCTTCACGCACAGAAATGTTTGTTCTCGACTTGACATAACAGTTTGTTCTCCCTTCTGGATCCAAAGATAAAAAACCTGCAGCGGGACCCGACGCGTGTAAGTCGACACGCTCGCATGCGTAAATGAAAACCATTATGTGTGAAACGATAACCAGAAATATCAAACATTATATGTTTTCTTTATGCCTTTTACAAAAGCCACAACAATGGAGATGATTTTACCCCTTTTGTGATGCAACAGGCTAAAGTATCAGGAAAGTAATTTAGCTCAGGCAGTGAAAGGGGAGCTAAGTGGGGCAGTGAAAATGGCTGCCCAGGAGCAGAAATAATACTTTAGATATCATATATGTTGATACACATCAATTGGTGACTGTTTAATGCACAGAGGTGGTCTAAATCTTCACTATTGTTTTTTGTTTTTTACCAGGCGTCATGTTTCCATTGGCTACATATTTAGTGATTTTTTTTTGGTTGAAAAAGTTGTTTTCCCTCTTGCTTTTTCTTTTTTCCCCTCGAAACAGGACTGGCCTGACAAGCATGTGCATGTGGACACACACACAAATACACACAACAAAATCTCAATCGGTGGAAAATGTAAATAGACCTCAGTGTATCCAGTGAAGTGGCAGCCGTCGGGATGTTTAGACCCTCTGCTCCCGCAGGCCAGCAGTAGTGTGAAGCTGATACTGAGACAGGGAGGTGAGACCGGTTTCCCGAGTGTCGAAATAGCGAAAATGAATAATAGAAATCAGGTTAAAATGACAAAAGCTCGACTTTAAACTAGCAGTTTTCTGACCCTCTTGACAGACACAAAATACAGCTGAATAGCTTTAAAAAAAAGGGTCTCCATTTGACAAAGAAGAATACGACGACTCCATCATCCATGGATATGGATCATTAACACCATTTAGAAGCTTTTTTTTAAATGCAGTGGATCATCATTACTATAAAACGTCCTAGTTACATGTGATCCTGCTCACACATCCAGTAGTCTGCTAAATACTGTTACATGTGTTTCACCCTGATCTCATTAGGCTAACAGCTAGCTACTAATGGCATCATTAGTGGTGAATGCTACTAAACCATTTAACCACCATGAGCTTGAATAAACCTTTTAACACCATCAGTAGCTATAGCAGAGTAATCATCTTTTGTTTGATAGGAGTGACTCAATTAGCATATGGGATCATGCTGTCTCTGGCATGCGATTGCATTTGAACCTGCAGCTTTTTGCAAATCTTAGATATTTTCCTTCCTTCCCAGATTTGAAAATTAAATGCAGTGTGCAGTTGATTAAAAGTTAAAAGTGGTCCTGGGTGTTTGGCCGATGCTATTTCTGTTCCTCCTTCCTGTCATTTGTCTTGTTTTTTTCTTATTTCCGCTCTTTCTCTCCTCCTCTCTCTCTCTCCCTCTGGAAGCTAACTAGCCTGTCTCCTTGCTGTCGTTTGGCTTTCCTTTCTTTCTCCCTAATCACTCTGTTGCTTTTTCATGTCATGCACCGTAGCATATTTATCCAAGATAACAACTGGGTTTCCCCTGTCTTTCTGGGTCAGGGGGAATAATTGCTGCTGGTGTTTGTGTTTGTCTGTGTGTGTCCCCACATTTTGTTAGGCAGATTGCTTTTGACTGATCTAAGCACAGCTCATATTAAACCAGAGATACACAATTAAGTGTAGCCAGTTCACAAGCTCCAGATTCTTGTTGTATAATGATACCTGCTGTTAAAATGCTGCAAAAAAACAAAGCTATCTGATATGTCCCCTATGTATTTTTTATTGCGAAACTTATTTTTTATTATGCAATAGCTTTTTTCAGGAATTGATAATGGTTTGTTTAAAAAAGTGTTGTTTTTTTTTACAATTGAGTCAATGTTTCCTTATTGCTATTAGCTTTTTTAATTTAAGGATGTTGCTACCAAATCCGCCATTTACATTTAGCTAGGTTACGTATTCATAACTGATACTGAAGAGCTTCCATTGTTCCTTTGTTTAAGTCACATGTCATCATTTTTTACCTACATTTAAAAAAAATAGCTGGTGCATTATTTCTATTTCAAACATGTATCCATTATTTTATTTCATAGTAAACCATTTATCTTTAACAGCAAGCTGTTGTTTCCATTAAGGCATTTTATTTTCTGCTTGAAATCAGTTATCAGTTAGGCTACGCTTGCCTTTTTGACATGTCAGTTTGTCTTTTTCATCTTCAATAATTTATCTTCCACCTACAGCAAGCTATTTTGAAAATCCATCTGTGAGTCCCTTTAAGCTAACAGACTTAGTAAAGAATTTTTCTGTATAAAGGACAGCTATTCGGGTATTATAGCTAAATGGTCTTTTCATTCCAAGAAAAGAAGTGGTAAGGCTTGTCACGAGAGACAAAAACAGCCACAGATAAATCAGCTCGCTTCGTTAGCATCTTTATTGTGTCCAGGCTGGGATGCTTTGGTTCTCTCTGTCTGCTCAACTGTAGTCTTAAATAATTGTGTTTAGCAAACACTTCAGCTGGAAGACTTCCTTCTGTTGAAGCGAGACAAAAGAGAAACCTGAGCCCACGGTGACTCTTCCTCCGCCTGTCTCTTTAGTCTTGGCTGCTGGCTTTTGATGAGACAAGATGGATGAAAGTTATCTTTACATTGTATCTTATGTAAGGACTTCGACCTCAACTTTGTGTCAAGAATGTTGTGAAAAGAGGAGACATGATGTACCCACATGTTAATTATTAATTGTAGATTAAGGCAGATACAGTCAATAGTTTCATAAAAAAGAAAAGGAACTTGAAGGCAGAGCATTGAAAATAAACAGAACCCAGAAATAGTGTTTCAAGCTTAACTGTAATTGATTCTTATTTCAACTTGGTAATGTTATTACCTATCCTACCAGGAAGTGATTCCAGTGTTTTAGTAAAGCATTAGTAAGTTATTGGTTGAATGTATGCCGGTATCATTCTCTCACAAAGGCAGATGGCAGAAAGTGCCCCATCTCACTAAGATCTATTCTCCTGAAGAAGAGTTTGTGGCTTTTTAAGCTGTAGATGTTAGAAAGATGGCTGGCTTTTCCCTTCTGCTGCTTCTATGAGCATTTCTTTACAGGATGGAATGAGATTACAGTGAACACAGAGTTTTCTGCTTTACGATGGGGCACCGTTTGCACAAAAGGCCAAGAGTACATCTGCATCCTCCTCAGAGCTGGAGGCGGCCTGCAGAGTGAAAGTACAGGAAGCGAGCCTGGAGTTTTTCCTCAGGAAACGGAGTCCATTTCCACTTGGCTGCTAGACTGAACCGGAATTTGTTTTACGTAAGCATGGTCAAAAATATCGGAGTATAAAAGCAGAGAGCTGCTGGACGTTGCGTTCCAAAACACCTGCACGGGCAGAGGGAGACGCTCGTGGCTTTGTTTGGATTCTCTCTAAACCAAATACATCAAATCACATTAATGGCTAAGGGAAATTCTTACATTTTTTAATGTTAAACTGTGACAAATATCGCCTTAGACAATCTTTATTTTCAAGCAAAGATGAGCTTTACAAAATTCTTTTTCAAATTTAGATGAATAATTTGGGATATGAAGTCTTCCAAACTAACTTGTTGAATTTTTCTGATAATATCAGCTTTCCCATATTACAAATCATAAGCCTAAATCTGTTCATTTGATGAAATGAGAAGCTTTTCAAATGAGGACATATAGGATATATAGGGATGTGTGCTTCTTATGAGCCAGAGTAGTATAACATTCTGTCTCTTATAATGTATCTATGCGTTTTTATGGTCTGTATTCCTCAGCTGTCTTCCCTTTACTCTCATCCACTTGGACATTTCCATAGGAATGACTGCAGGGTAGATTGGTGTCTGTTGGGGGGGGGGTGTCATTAAGAAACGCGTCCCTTTGTTTACCCCCGGATTAACAGGTTATCTCGATGGGCCGCTTCACACCTCTGTGTTTGTGCCGGACAGGCAGGCACGATTTCGGGTCAAAGTGACGATTAGTTTGTGTTCCGAGTGGCTCAGACGAAACTGTGGGAGACATTTGAATAGTAAAAAAAATGTGTCTGCAGCCTGCTGCGATCAGCGCGCGCTCCTGTCCGCGACAGTCCCGGTTTTGGAGTTTTTCCCCTCTCATAAGTGGGTCTGGTGTCTTTAACCAGGTTCAGTGTCGCCCCCTGTACCTGCCCAAAGGGAAAGGTCTGCGGTCACGTGGAGCTGAAATCGCCTTTGACTCGTGACGTTAGGAAGTGTAGTTCCGTTTTTTTTTTTCTTACTAATCACTGGCAACACCTTAAAGTTGGCACGTTAAAAGGAAACCGATGAGTGTGACATCTTTATAAGACAATTGATGTCCCTTAGTTTTTTAGCAGGGGGGGCGTGGCTGTGCGTAAGCGAGGCCACGCCCCCCTGGAGGTATAAAAGACTTCCTACACGGCTGGATCCTCACATCCTGAATCCTGGAGGCATAGACACCTCAAGCGATAGGAACAGAAACTATATGGACACAAGGAGCGTCGTCTGTTCGGGCTTGGAGTTTTAGGATTTTTTTTTTGTGCTTTTCCTCACAGAAACTGCCATTATGGCCACGGCTGAGGCCCTGATGCCTGCCATGACGACGTTTTCCTGCGTAAAGACGATGGATAACGTAAGTACAGAATCTGTTCCGAAAGTTGTGGATTTCTTCCATTTTAGAGAAAAAAAAAGATATCCTCGTGATTTGAGATTGTTTAGATTTTAACATCTCTTTTTCCTCGCGCGCTCCTCTGCAGCTGCGCAAGTTGGATGCGTGCGTCGGGGCTGGCGCAACAGGTGGCGACCCGCACATCCAGGTGGCGTTCAACATCGTCCAGTCCCCCAGAGAAGAGGACGATCTGGGGAAGTTCCTGGACCTCGAGTTCATTTTGTCCAACACCATCGGCACCGACGTCCCCCCCCAGGGCAGCGGGAGCGTGTCCCCCCCCCAGCAGCAGCAGCAGCAGCAGCTGTGCGCGTACCCGCTGCCGGACTCGCCAGAGAGCTGCGGCTCCGCGCCGGACTGCACTGACCTCTCCTCTCCTCACATGGCCACGCACGGCTTCCACGGCTCCACGAACTTCCCGGGCGCGAGTCCCGTGCGCAGCCTGATGGCGGAGCTGCTCACGCCGGAGATGAGCTACCCGGGGGAGAGCTCGCCCCACGGAAATGGAGGCGCGAGAGACGCGTGCGAGTACACCGAACTACGATCTTTGAACCCAGCCGCGCGTGCGTCGGTTCCTGCTCACCCGCAAGTCGCCACGTCTCCATCCTCGCTCGGCTACAAGATCAAAACCGAGCCCGGGGTCCAGTCTTGTATGATGGCCGATGGGAACTTTCTGGAGCACCCTGTGCGTTCCGTGCACGCGGGGTCCTTTGCGCACCGCCAGCCCGCGGCTCTGCAGGGATTCGGGGTTCATCCCGTCCCACAAACGACGCTCCAGGGACGCACGGACTGCCACTTGGCGCAAATGAACTCAACCATGAGCCCCCACCACCTCCCGAACCAGTACCTGAACGCGCCGTATCAAACGCAATATCACACGCAGTTCCAAGGACAGTACGGCATGCACAGAGAGGCCCCGCGCGCGCACCAGCAGCACCACCCGGCCTCCATGCAGGGCATGATGCTCACCCCCCCGTCGTCGCCTTCCTTGATGGACTTTTACGCGCAGGACGAGGCCGGGGGCATCAAGCAGAAGCGGGGTCGCAGGACGTGGAGTAGGAAACGCGCCGCCACGCACAACTGCGAGTTCCCGGGCTGCGGGAAGACCTACACCAAGAGCTCCCACCTTAAAGCGCACATGAGGACGCACACAGGTGAGAACGATTTACGCTTCTCTTTGATTAGTGCGTAAACGCAACTGTTCCAAATCAGGCGCCGGTAGAATGCACGGCGGTTGATGTTAACGAGCTCTTCCGTTTTCCTCTCAGGTGAGAAGCCCTACCACTGCAACTGGGAGGGCTGCGGCTGGAAATTCGCCAGATCGGACGAGCTCACGCGCCACTTCCGGAAGCACACCGGACACAGGCCCTTCCAGTGCCACCTGTGCGAACGCGCCTTCTCCCGCTCCGACCACCTGGCTCTCCACATGAAGAGGCACATGTAGGCTTCCCCGAGGATGGACTGTTCCCAATGAATGTAAAAAAAAAAAAAAACCTTCTCCTAAGGGCCTTATTCACTGTCAGGTCATGTTGGGAAACCGGTGGTGATATTTAAAGGTTTCCCCAAAAGTGCCTCAAATGCCACAAAGCTATGTGCCTCAGATGGTTTTTGTATATGTGTGTGCATACATGAAAAACACTGGCTAAGTATAGTTTCATATTTAAGACGACCCCCCCTGATGATAATAAGTTATTGATTGTTGGTGAGTGCTTTAACTAGGTGGCTTTTTTGCTCACTGAGGGCAGGACCCAGAATTTTGTACATAAGGATAGTGTATTTTTCTACTGTTTACAGCTCCTTTATCTTTTAGCTATTTTTTTTTGTAGTTTTAAGTCTATTTTTTTCTTATATACAACAGTTTTGTGCCTCTGTGTTAACTTCTCAGACTTTTTACATGAGTTATTCCAGGAAATTCAGGTACTGAAATAAACTTCTATCACTTCACCAGGTCTATACAACATGTCCATTTTGTTTCTGTTTTTTGTATTGTTTGTAGGATTATACAGACGCAACATTAATTTTCTTAAGCAGAGATTGTTTTGAATGATGAAGAAATTTACTGTTATCAGTGGTTCAACTGCTATACTTGAAAAATGAATCGTAAGCTTGTATCATTGTCTCATTCTCCTGGAATGCAAATGTTTTATATGCGCTCAAGGGCTCCGAAATAAAAACAGTATACTTTTACAGTTTATGTGCTGCGTTCATTCCTGCCACCCACTCACGCAATCACTTTAACTCTGTCTGCTTTGGCTTTGTGTTGGTGGTGATGTAAGTGTTGCAAACAGCATCCAGACCAATGAGAGTAGCTGCATTGCTTGTGAAAGGCTGACCCCTGGTGTCCATTTATGAACTATGAAGATGAGACATTCCTCCTGAGAAAGAAAGGCGTCCTCATTGACATATAATAAACAGATCTAACTCCTGTAATCTCATTAGGAGACATTTGATACCGGAAGCCATGTAGGAGGAAACGGGAGAGACAACCTCAGTTCCAAAGTTTGAAAGGCACAACCCAAAGCCTGTAGTTACACAACTATTACAAAAGGTG